ACTTTATTCTGATGAGATTTTAGGCTATTTTGCAAATCGATTGAGAGAGAACTTATTTATTCAACAGATAAAATAAGAGATGGGGTGTAATTGGCAAACTAATTTGTTAATTTATTCAATAATGCACCAGCATTGTGCTGGGAGTTAAAGGGAATGGAGAAAAGTTAATTTGTGTAAATTATTAGTCATTTTCCTATTATAAACTCTCCATGTTCTTTCCGTATTAGACTAAAAACCAGACAACACACATCTGGGAAAAAAGAAATCTCTTTTAAAACTACAATTATTTTGATTTGTCTTTAGTTATAAATTTGAATTTACTTTATTATTTATTTATTTATTTTGAGACAGAGTCTCCCTCTGTTGCCCTAGCGAGAGTGCCGTGGCGTCAGCCTAGCTCACAGTAACCTCAAACTCCTGGGCTCAAGCGATCCTCCTGCCTCAGCCTCCGGAATAGCTGGGACTACAGGCATATGCCACCATGCCCGGCTAAATTTTTTTTTTTTTCCTACTTTAGTTGCGCTAATTTCTTTCTGTTTTTAGTGGAGACGGAGGTCAGTCTTGCAAAGGCTGGTCTCGAACTCCTGACCTCAAGCGATCCTCCCGCCTCCCTGCGGGCCTCGCTGCGGGTTAGGATTACAGGCGTGAGCCACCACGCCCGGCCTAGTTTACTTTAAAATTAACGAAATGCGAAGGTGAAAGGAGGGTAGACTTATGTCTCTTTTAAAATGCTATTTGTCCCACGAAGAAAAGCGGAGGAGCTATCCCACAGCAGCTGCTCCAATTTCCAGGAAACTCTCCCAAACCTCACCACTGAAAGACTCCCTTCTCCCAGCGCTTCCCGACAAACATCGCGAGAACAAAGCCGTCCCTTGGACCCCTCCTTCCCAGGCAGTTCAACCCCACCCACTTCCTGCCTGGCGATCTCCTGACGTCAGAGGTGCGCTGGAATGCCGTGCCTAGGGCGGAAGTGCTCTCGGCGGAAGTGATCCTCTGTGAGACTCGTGGGTGGGATGGCGGCGGGCCGACTCCTTCTAAGTCGGCTTCGAGCACCCCTCAGTTCCATGGCCCAGAGCCCACTCGAGGGCGCTGCCTCCTCCAGAGGCTTGCATGCGGGGCGCGGGCCCCGAAGGCTCTCCATCGAAGGCAACATTGGTAAGGGCCAGAAAGCGGCTGCCACGCCTTGGGCTCCGCCACACCGGTGACTGAGAGGCTGGGAAAAGGAGCTGGGCCCGAATCCTCCCCTCGCCTCCTTATCTGATGCTGCTGGCCGGCTTGTTTTAAGATGCCAGGGCCTTTCCTCTCCCAAACTGCACTGTGGGTCTTTGCCTCTTTGATGTTTAGACGTCGGTTCCTCAGTACCCGCCTACAAGGACACATTTGTTGGGGCATAAAAGCCGCGCAGTCAGTAGATATGACAAGAATTTTACTAACTTGTTCTAATAGATCGAAATGGATACAACAAGCAGGGTGCAATTTCTTCATTCTCCTAAGATAGGGTTGCCAGATTTAGCAGAATTTTTTTTTTTAATTTTAAATGCCCAGTTAAAATAGAATTTAAGATAACAATTTGTGGTGTGTGTCCGATGCAATATTTAGGACCTACACTGAAAAAAAAAATTATTGTCTAAAGTTCAAATTTAACAGGATGCCCTGTATTTTATCTGGCAACCCTGTTCTGAAAGAGTTCCTAAACTAAAGTCATACAAATACCACTTTCACTATTTTTGCCATGTCTCTGTGCTAGTTGCACTATAATTTCTTAAGGTTTTTCTTAGGAAGAACTCACTTTTTTTTAAAGGAAGGGAGTGAGGAGGGGGGTTCAATTTCTTTTTTCTTTTCTTTTTTTTTCTTAAGACAGAATCTCTGTCGCGCTGAGCGGAATGCAGTGGCATCATTGGTAGCTCACTGCAGCCTCAAACTCCTGATCTCAAGCAATCCTCCTGCCTCAGCCTCCCTGGTAGCTGGGACTACAGGCGTGTTGATGCCTGGCTAGTTTTTCTTTTTTTCTTTTCTTTTTTTTTTAAAGACTAGTCAAGTGCAGTAGTGAGAAGGGGGGAAGGTAGTAGAACAAGGAGTTCAATCTGTAACTGACTATGAACAATCAAGTGAGATAACTCACTACTTTTGGACCAGCCTAGTTTTTCTGTTTTTAGTAGAGACAGGGTCTCACTTTTGCTCAGGCTGGTCTCGAACTCCTGACCTCAAGCAATCTTCCTGCCTTGGCCTCCCAGAGTGCTGGGATTACAGGGGTGGGCTACACACCCAGCTGGAACTCACTTTTTAAACTTAAACATTTGTATTAAATTAAAAATAATTGTGCTACAAGAGTAGAGACCCAGTATCTTAAAAAAAAGTAATCAAAAAGCAAAATGAGGGCCGGGCATCGTGGCTCATGCCTGTAATCCTAGCACTCTGGGAGGCTAAGGCGGGCGGATTGTTTGAGCTCAGGAGTTCGAAACCAGGCTGAGCAAGAGCGAGACCCCGTCTCTACTAAAAATAGAAAGAAATTAATCCGACAACTAAAAATATATAGAAAAAATTAGCCGGGCATGGTGGCACATGCCTGTAGTCGCAGCTACTCGGGAGGCTGAGGCAGAAGGATTGCTTGAGCCCAGGAGTTTGAGGTTGCTGTGAGCTAGGATGACGCCACGGCACTCTAGCCCAGGCAACAGAGTGAGACTCTGTCTCAAAAAAAAAAAAGCAAAATGAAACAAAACATTTCAATTTAATGTTACTGAATTCTGACTCGACACTTTTACCTACTAAGGCACTGGGCTTTAAAAGAGGATTAGCAAGTGTTGAGTACTGAAGACATTCTAGCAGCAAACTGAGAATTTCTCATTTTATTCATTCAACAAATCACCCTTTGAGCCACTTCTGTGTGCCAGTACTGTTCTTGGCCCTGAGGCTACAGCTGTGAACAGAATCTAGTAGGGAGAGATGAAAATAAACAACATAAATTAACATAAACAGTATGGTAGATAGTAAAGAGTATGCTGGAGAAAAATCAGGGGTAAAGGACTGAGACAAGTTCTCATTTAAAATAGGGTCGTCAAACAAGTCCTCACTGAAGGTGACATTTGAGCAAAAACCTGAAGAATGTGAGAGAGTGAACCACGTGGGTACCTGGGAATAGAATGTTACAAAACAGCGAAGAACAAGTAGAAAGGCCCTGAGGTAGAAAGTGTGTTCCGGGAATAGGATGGAAGCCACTGTGGCTGGAGTAGAGTGAGCAAGGAAGGGAATGGAAGGAAATGAGGTCAGAAAAGTGGAAATGAGGTCAGAAAAGCGAAGGGTGGCCAGATTGCATAGTCCTTATCATGGGTTTTTCATCTCATTGAGATAGGAAGCCGTTGGAAGGTTTGAGGAGTCAAGTGATGTGGTTTTGCTTAGATTATAAAAAGGTCACTCTAGTTGATATGCTGAAAGTAGGAGGTGTTAGTTAGGAGGTTATCACAGTAATAAATTTTGGTAAGTCAGACCATTGCGAAAGTGGTGAGAAGTAATTGGATTCTAGTTACATTTTAAGTACAATTTAACAGTGGAAGTCATGAGAAGTGATTGGGTTCTAGTTACATTTTTAAGTAGGGCCAACTGGATTTTGTGACAGATTGAATGTGGAGTGTAAAAGAGAGGAATCAGTGATGACTCTAATTATTTTGGGTTGAGCAACTTGAAGATGGAGTTCCGATTTTCTTAAATGGAGAAGACTGAGAAGAACAGATTTGTGTGGTTCAAGATGTTGGTTTTAGGCATGTTGTTTTTTTATATGCCTATTAATGTCCAGGTGGAGGTGTTGAGTAGGCAGTTGGATATATGCATCCTAAATTCAGAATCTCCCTAGACTGGAGCTATAAATGTAGATGGTATTTAAAGCCAAGAGATGGTATGTGTTTGATGGAAAGGACTGAGCCCTGGGGCATGCAGATGTTCAGAGGTTGGGAAGATGGAAAGGAACTGGCAGAGGAGACTGGGCAGGAATGACCACTGAGGAGAAAAAACAAAAGAAAACGATAACCTGAAAGCTAAGTGAAGAAGCTGTTCAGAGGGAAAGAATAATCAACTGTGTTATACTGTTTAAGTAAATGAAGGTCCTTGGTGAACTTGAACAGTTTTAGGAGTGGTAGGAGTGAAAGCCTGATTGGCGTAGGTTCAAGGAGAATGGGAGGTGAGGAATTGGGGACAGTGGGTTCAGACAACTGTGTGGCAGTTTTCTTAGAAAGGAGAGTCGTGAGGTGGTAGCTGAAATTAGAGAAGGATTTGAGAATTTTAAAAAAATTGTTTTTCTTTTTGTGAGAGGAATTAGAGCATGTTTGTAGGCTGATGGAAATGGCCTAGTATAAAGGGGGAAACTGGTGAGTCAGGAGAGAAGATAGAATTGCTGGAGTGATTTTTAAGTAAGCCAGAAAGAATGGGATCTAGTGCCTAAGTGGAAAGAGTTTAGCCTTGGCTAGGAGCACTGTTTATCCTTAGTAATAGGAGGGATGGCAAAATACATGAGCACTAACTTGAGTGGACATGATGGGAACTTGGGGAAGGTCTTTTGGTTGTGTCAGCTTTCACAGTGAAATAGGAAGAAAGGTCATCAGCTAAGAGGGAGTTCAAGGAGAGTGGAGAAGACATGACATAGTCTAGTGAGTGAGCAAGAAAACTGTTGAGTTGCTGGGCAGCATTCAGGACCCACTTGAAGTTAGTGGTCATGAATTTAAAGCGAGACCAGTTACCACGACTGTGTGTTTTTTCCCAACCATATCAGAAACATTGAAAGGAATGAGAAGGGAGGGTCCTGCCACTTGCCTGGTGGTGTTATTTAAAGATGTTCTGTCCTGTACTTTAAGAAACACATTCCTAAAGGAAGCTCTGTCCTCAGAGCCCAGAGACCATGGTACTTAACAAAATAAGTACTTTGGATGTCATCAGGTGAAGTTTGAGCTCCCTCTTCATATTTTCTGACCTCTGCTTCCTAACCTAGCTAAATTTCTATGCTGCTTCCTTGCTTTCTCATGCAGCAGAAGTTTACTGAGTCCCTACTGTGAGTCCACCCTCATGCTGAGCACAGCAGTGAATGGGATACAGCTCCTGTCCTTCAAAGAGCTCACAACCAAGTGGGAGAAACAGACTCTAAATATAATGTCCATACTGTTTGATGAGATCCATGATTGGGCATGGAAACTTAAAATCTCTGGGGTGGGAATTCCCAAGAGGAAGAAGAGGAAAAAGAGTATTCCAGGCATAGGAAATAACATTTTCCAAAGTGGTGAAGACTGAAAAAAACATATGTAGTTTTAATAAAAGGGAAGTAGCTGGATGTGCCTGGAGTTTTGGGGGCTTGTGAGTGGGTGGCAGAACAAGAGGTTGGAAGGGTTGGATTTGCCATATATTGAAGAGTCTTGTGGACCATGCTAGTTTATCCTGTTGGCAGTGGGAGGCTGTTGAACACTGGAAGCCAGCATGTACCATTACCAAATTAATTTTAAAAGAAAATTGGCTAGAATGAGTGAATTGAAAAAAGGCTCCACAAAGCAGGCACTTTCTTTGTATGTCTTGTTTGCAGCAGTACCCATAGTGCCTTGCATCCAGTTTTCTGGATGAATGAAGGAAGGAATTGGAAAGGAGTTGGAATATATAGACTAGTTTTGTGGCTGTTGTAGTAAGTGAAAGGAGAAAAGATGCAGGCATGAACAGAGGGAACGGAGGGACAAAGAAGAAGTGATGGTTTGAGAGAGATTATGGAAGAGGAATTGACAGGACTTGGTGGCCACTTGGAGGGAGGTGAGGGATAATGAGGAGTTGAGGAGGATGACATTGAAGTTTCTAATTTGGATGCTGACTCCAAAAGCTGAATATGGGAATAAAGAAAGAGGCTATCTGGGGAGATAAGAGAGATCTGTTTTGTATGAGGAGCCTGTGAGGCATAGGGAGAGATGTCCTGAGGCAGATTGGAATATGTGCCTGAAGTCGAGAGACACTGGAGATGGGAGCTGAGATTTCAAATGTGGAAGCTGGACTGTTGGGGGTAGTTGCTGAAGCCTTGGAAGTACAGTTGCCCAAGAAAAGGGTGATGCCCAGTGGACTGGGGGACCTTAATCTGACTCTTTTTACTTTCATCTCCCACCACTCTTCATCACCCCACACACCCTGATGACGCTTTC